CTTGGAGGCAAAGAGGGGAATGTATGAGAGTATAGTTTTACCAACGCTCTTATATGGGTGTGAAGCGTGGGTGATGAATGTTGCAGCGAGGAGAAGGCTGGAGGCAGTGGAGATGTCATGTCTGAGGGCAATGTGTGGTGTGAATATAATGCAGAGAATTCGTAGTTTGGAAGTTAGGAGGAGGTGCGGGATTACCAAAACTGTTGTCCAGAGGGCTGAGGAAGGGTTGTTGAGGTGGTTCGGACATGTAGAGAGAATGGAGCGAAACAGAATGACTTCAAGAGTGTATCAGTCTGTAGTGGAAGGAAGGCGGGGTAGGGGTCGGACTAGGAAGGGTTGGAGGGAGGGGTAAAGGAGGTTTTGTGTGCGAGGGGCTTGGACTTCCAGCAGGCATGCGTGAGCGTGTTTGATAGGAGTGAATGGAGACAAATGGTTTTTTAATACTTGACGTGCTGTTGGAGTGTGAGCAAAGTAACATTTATGAAGGGATTCAGGGAAACCGGCAGGCCGGACTTGAGTCCTGGAGATGGGAAGTACAGTGCCTGCACTCTGAAGGAGGGGTGTTAATGTTGCAGTTTAAAAACTGTAGTGTAAAGCACCCTTCTGGCAAGACAGTGATGGAGTGAATGATGGTGAAAGTTTTTCTTTTTCGGGCCACCCTGCCTTGGTGGGAATCGGCCGGTGTGATAATAAAAAAAAAAAAAAAAAATATATATATATATATATATATATATATATATATATATATATATATATATATGTATATATATATATGTGTGTGTGTATATATACATACACAGGAGGAGGTAGAAGCATCTCTTATACACAGCTTCGAGAGTAGGTTTGACAGCCCGGAAGGACCGAGTCTAGAAATGTGGATCAAACTGACTCAAAAAAAAGAGGGTAGGTAGAGAGGGAAGATAGAGGGGGGAGGGTCAGGAAGGGTGCCTCGACCCCCAGCAAACAGAACTCTGTGAGTACACTGTTAACGGGACCAGTCATCAGGTGGGAGTCAATGTTAGTAGTGTTGGGTCAACACAGGTCCCAACGGTACAGAGCAGCCGCTACAATACAGGTAGCAACGGTACAGAGCAGTCCCTGCAACACAGGTAGCAACGGTACAGAGCAGTCCCTGCAACACAGGTAGCAACGGTACAGAGCAGCCGCTACAACACAGGTGGCAACGGTACAGAGCAGCCGCTACAATACAGGTGGCAACGGTACAGAGCAGCCGCTACAACACAGGTAGCAACGGTACAGAGCAGCCGCTACAATACAGGTAGCAACGGTACAGAGCAGCCGCTACAACACAGGTAGCAACGGTACAGAGCAGCCGCTACAACACAGGTAGCAACGGTACAGAGCAGCCCCTGCAACACAGGTAGCAACGGTACAGAGCAGCCCCTGTAACACAGGTAGCAACGGTACAGAGCAGCCGCTACAACACAGGTAGCAACGGTACAGAGGAGCCACTACAATACAGGTAGCAACGGTACAGAGCAGCCGCTACAACACAGGTAGCAACGGTACAGAGCAGCCGCTACAATACAGGTAGCAACGGTACAGAGCAGCCCCTGCAACACAGGTAGCAACGGTACAGAGCAGCCCCTGTAACACAGGTAGCAACGGTACAGAGAAGCCGCTACAACACAGCTAGCAACGGTACAGAGCAGCCGCTACAATACAGGTAGCAACGGTACAGAGCAGCCGCTACAATACAGGTAGCAACGGTACAGAGCAGCCCCTGCAACACAGGTAGCAACGGTACAGAGCAGTCCCTGCAACACAGGTAGCAAAGGTACAGAGCAGCCGCTACAATACAGGTAGCAACGGTACAGAGCACTCCCTGCAACACAGGTAGCAACGGTACAGAGCAGTCCCTGCAACACAGGTAGCAACGGTACAGAGCAGCCCCTGCAACACAGGTAGCAACGGTACAGAGCAGCCGCTACAATACAGGTAGCAACGGTACAGAGCAGTCCCTGCAACACAGGTAGCAACGGTACAGAGCAGTCCCTGCAACACAGGTAGCAACGGTACAGAGCAGCCCCTGCAACACAGGTAGCAACGGTACAGAGCAGCCCCTGCAACACAGGTAGCAACCGTACAGAACAGTCCCTGCAACACAGGTAGCAACGGTACAGAGCAGTCCCTGCAACACAGGTAGCAACGGTACAGAGCAGCCGCTACAATACAGGTAGCAACGGTACAGAGCAGCCGCTACAATACAGGTAGCAACGGTACAGAACAGCCGCTACAACAGAGCAACGGTACAGAGGAGCAGTTACAGCACAGGTAGCAATGGTACAAAGCAGCCGCTACAACACAGGTAACGGTGCAGAGGAGCCGCTACAACACAGGTAGCAATGGTACAAAGCAGCCGTTACAACACAGGTAACAACGGTACAGAGGAGCCGCTACAACACAGGTAACGGTACTGAGGAGCCGCTACAACAGAGGTACCAACGATACAGAGGAGCTGCCACAACACAGGTAGCAAGGGTACAGAGGTGTTGCTACAACACAGGTAGCTACGGTACAGTGGTGCTGCTACAACACAGGTAGCTACAGTACAGAATATCTGCCACAACACAGCAACGGTATAGAGGTGCTATTACAACACAGGTATCAACGGTACAGAGGTGCTACAACACAGGTAGCAACGGTACAGAGGTGCTGCTACAACACAGGTAGTTACGGTACAGAGGTGCTGCTACAACACAGGTAGTTACGGTACAGAGGTGCTGCTACAACACAGGTAGCAACGGTATAAAAGTGCTGCCACAACACAGGTAGCAAAGGTATGTGCTGCCACAACACAGGTAGCAAAGGAATGTGCTGCCACAACACAAGTAGCAAAGTATGTGCTGCCACAACACAGGTAGCAACAATACAGAGGCGCTGCCACAACAGAGATAGCAACCGTACAGAGGTGCTGCCACAACCGTACACTCCTCACCAGTACAGACGTACCTCTCTGGGATGGTTGTTGTCTACCAGCCTACAAGGAGGATAGTACCTCTCTAGGATGGTTGTTGTCTACCAGCCTACAAGGAGGATAGTACCTCTAGGATGGTTGTTGTCTACCAGTCTACAAGGAGGATAGTACCTCTCTAGGATGGTTGTTGTCTACCAGCCTACAAGGAGGATAGTACCTCTCTAGGATGGTTGTTGTCTACCAGCCTACAAGGAGGATAGTACCTCTCTGGGATGGTTGTTGTCTACCAGCCTACAAGGAGGATAGTACCTCTCTAGGATGGTTGTTGTCTACCAGCCTACAAGGAGGATAGTACCTCTCCAGGATGGTTGTTGTCTACCAGCCTACAAGGAGGATAGTACCTCTTTGGGATGGTCGTTGTCTACCAGCCTACAAGGAGGATAGTACCTTTCTGGGATGGTTGTTGTCTACCAACCTACATGCTAGGACGACAGTACTATCCTGGATAGTTTGCTGTCTTACCAACCAACAAGAAAGGAGGGTAGTAGCTCCCTCTATGGCTGCTGTCTATCAACTACTTACAAATATAGCAAAACCTGGAAGGTTGCTGAGGTCAACACCCTTCCGCGATGGCCAACCTCAAGACTTTACCAGACCTTTTGATGAGCTTATGCAAATGCTTCAGTGTTGCAACAGTGATTCAGTGTTGCAATAATGTATCAGTGTTACAACAATAAGTCAGTTGCAACAATGAATCGGTGTTGCAACAATGAATCAGTGTTACCACAAAACGTGCTGCAACAATGAATCAATGTTGCAACAACGACACTGCTGCAACATTGAAGTCTTATCACAATAACCGTTGCAATAATGAATCAATGTTGCAACAGTGTATCAGTATTGTAACAAAATATCTGTTGCAACAATGTATCAGTATTGCAACAAGAAAACAGTAATATCGTCCAGCAGAAAAATAAAAGAATAAACATTATAAACATATTAGAGTGAAGGAGCAGCCGTGGCGTCCTCCAGGGTGACACCATCTTACTCTCATTCAATCTTAACACCAGTATAAATACTGCTAAGTAAGACACATATGCAACAGTTAGGTATTGTAGATGAATGGTTCGGAGAACCGACACGCTGATATACCCAATTCTTCGCTTGCCTAACCCTTGGGCACGACCTACTTCCACATTGGACAAATGCGACACCACCTACGACTGCTGCACCTCTCCTGCCTACGGTATATAAGCTACTTCTCCAGAGATATGCTGTATTCTATTCAAGATTGATGGACTGACCATATCGACTCAAGGTTGAGGGACTGATTACCTCATTCTCCTCCTGTTCTTCACGTTTCTCCTTTGTATGGACTGATGAAGCCACTGTGTGGCGAAACGTTTCCTCAATAAAGATACCCAAGAGTTGCACATGTCTAATTTATCAACAGTTAGGTATCGTTATTCTGAAACATTTCGCCTACACAGTAGGCTTCTACAGTCGAATACAGAAGACTTAGCAGAAGCAGTAGAGATGAGAAGACGATGTAATCAGTCCATCACCTCAGAAGACCTAATTTTTTAAGGTGGTCAGTCCCTCAGCCTGGAGAAGAGTTTTTGCCGTTTTCTATTAACGCATCAATATATTTAATGCCGTTCTGTCCTTCAGCCAATTTCATGGCTGAAGGACAATCCAACCTAACCAAACCAAAACAACGCAAATCTGGAAAAAAAAAATCGCTCAAGCCACAAATAAAAAATCCACAAAAAATATGCGAGTTCCAAATAAGAGAGTCTTACCTGGGAGCCAAAAGATAATACCCAAAACTACTGCCAAATAAGAGAGTCTTACCTGGGAGCCAAAAGATAATACCCAAAACTACTGCCAAATAAGAGAGTCTTACCTGGGAGCCAAAAGATAATACCCAAAACTACTGCCAAATAAGAGAGTCTTACCTGGGAGCCAAAAGATAATACCCAAAACTACTGCCAAATAAGAGAGTCTTACCTGGGAGCCAAAAGATAATACCCAAAACTACTGCCAAATAAGAGAGTCTTACCTGGGAGCCACGGTCTGCGTCCTCAGGAATATCGAAGGAGTACGCAGCCTCATGGAACACCGGCGGGTTGTCGTTCGTGTCTGTCACCTGTCAAAACCGTAAATGCGAATTAATAATCACTAATTTTCTTTCATAGGTCATCAGTAAAACCAAGAATTGGCTTAAACTGAGATATCGTCCATAACGTTTATAATAATAATAATAATGTAAGTACCCTGCGGAAGCAAGATTTATCCAGCCATGGCTCGGTAAAGCTCTACACAGGGCAAAAAGATAGAGCTCTACACTGAGCGAAAAGTGACTTGCTGCAATTTTACAAGAAATAAGACATGATAAGCTATAAACAGAGCAAAACATAACGATAAAGCTCTACACAGCGAAAAAAAAATAACTTTTTTAAAGCTCACCGAAACACCCGTCACTTAGAGGGTCCCAATGACGATGTTTCGGTTCATCCTGGACCAGTCAGTAGACCAGCAGGGACCGAAACATCGTCATAAAGTTTTAAGTGTGAGCTTTGGTAAGCTGTTCCAGCCACGGTACTGTGACTTTCTATTCTCTTGATAAAGCTCCACACAGTGAAATATGCTAAATAGACAGAGTGAAACATTCCTTCATAAAGCTCTACAGAGCGAAACATGTTTCGATTAAGCTTTACAGCTCGAAACATATTGATAAATTAGACATGTGCAACACTTGGGTATCTTTATTGAGAAAACGTTTCGCCACACAGTGGCTTCATCAGTCCTATACATAAAAGAATGGTGAAGATCAGGAGTTTGAGGTAATCAGTCCCTCAGCCTGGAGTCAATGTTAATCAGTCCATCAATCTTGAAAAGAATACAGCAAGTGCGCCAAGAAGTGTCTTATATACTGTAGACAGGTGAGGTGCAGCAGTCGTAGTGGTATCACACTTGACAAATCAAATCATCTTGGGATCTTAATACAGGGAATTCATCATTTGCCTAACATTTAAGTATAACCTACTTACACACGTGTGGATTTGTCAAGTGTGATACCACCTACGACTGCTTCACCTCACCTGTCTACAGTACATCTGGAGAGTGTTCCGGGGGTCAACGCCCCCGCGGCTCGGTCTGTGACCAGGCCTCATATATAAGCCACTTCGTGCAAGTTCTGTATTCTTTTCAAAACTGATTACATCGACTTTAGACTGAGGGACTGATTACCTCAAACTCCTGTTCTTCACCATTCTTCTTTGTATACGACTGATGAAGTCAGTGTGTGGCGAAACGTTTCCAAAATAAAGGTACCCAAGTGTTGCAAATGTGTCTAATTGATCAACCTGTCGGTTCTGTGAACCATTTATCAACGGAACACGTCTTGATAAATATATAAACAGCGAAATGTGACTTAATAAAGCTCCACACGCCTTCATAAAGCTCTACACACGAAACATGGCAAAGCTTACAGTGAAACATTCCTTGACAGAGCTCTGCACAGTGAAACATACTTTGATGAAGCTCTACGCATTACACATGATTTGAGAAGCATACATGACGATAAAGCTTACACAGTGAAACGTGCCTTGATGGAGCTCCGCACAGTGAAACACGCCTTGATAGAGCTCTGCACAATGAAACATGCCATGATAGAGCTCTGCACAATGAAACATGCCATGATAGAGCTCTGCACAATGAAACATGCCATGATAGAGCTCTGCACAATGAAACATGCCATGATAGAGCTCTGCACAATGAAACCATCCCTTGATAAGCTCTGCACAATGAAACATGCCATGATAGAGCTCTGCACAATGAAACATGCCATGATAGAGCTCTGCACAATGAAACATGCCATGATAGAGCTCTGCACAATGAAACATCCCTTGATAGAGCTCTGCACAATGAAACATGCCATGATAGAGCTCTGCACAATGAAACATCCCTTGATAGAGCTCTGCACAATGAAACATGCCATGATAGAGCTCTGCACAATGAAACATGCCATGATAGAGCTCTGCACAATGAAACATCCCTTGATAGAGCTCTGCACAATGAAACATGCCATATAGAGCTCTGCACAATGAAACATGCCATGATAGAGCTCTGCACAATGAAACATGCCATGATAAGCTCTGCACAATGAAACATCCCTTGATAGAGCTCTGCACAATGAAACATGCCATGATAGAGCTCTGCACAATGAAACATCCCTTGATAGAGCTCTGCACAATGAAACATGCCATGATAGAGCTCTGCACAATGAAACATGCCATGATAGAGCTCTGCACAATGAAACATGCCATGATAGAGCTCTGCACAATGAAACATGCCATGATAGAGCTCTGCACAATGAAACATCCTTGATAGAGCTCTGCACATGAAACATCCCATGATAGAGCTCTGCACAATGAAACATGCATGATAGAGCTCTGCACAATGAAACATGCCATGATAGAGCTCTGCACAATGAAACATCCCTTGATAGAGCTCTGCACAATGAAACATGCCATGATAGAGCTCTGCACAATGAAACATGCCATGATAGAGCTCTGCACAATGAAACATCCCTTGATAGAGCTCTGCACAATGAAACATGCCATGATAGAGCTCTGCACAATGAAACATGCCTTGATAGAGCTCTGCACAATGAAACATGCCATGATAGAGCTCTGCACAATGAAACATGCCTTGATAGAGCTCTGCACAATGAAACATGCCATGATAGAGCTCTGCACAATGAAACATGCCTTGATAGAGCTCTGCACAATGAAAACATGCCATGATAGAGCTCTGCACAATGAAACATGCCATGATAGAGCTCTGCACAATGAAACATGCCTTGATAGAGCTCTGCACAATGAAACATGCCTTGATAGAGCTCTGCACAATGAAACATGCCTTGATAGAGCTCTGCACAATGAAACATGCCTGATAGAGCTCTGCACAATGAAACATGCCATGATAGAGCTCTGCACAAATGAAACATGCCTTGATAGAGCTCTGCACAATGAAACATGCCTTGATAGAGCTCTGCACAATGAAACATCCTTGATAGAGCTCTGCACAATGAAACATGCCATGATAGAGCTCTGCACAATGAAACATGCCTTGATAGAGCTCTGCACAATGAAACATGCCATTGATAGAGCTCTGCACAATGAAACATGCCTTGATAGAGCTCTGCACAATGAAACATGCCTTGATAGAGCTCTGCACAATGAAACATGCCTTGATAGAGCTCTGCACAATGAAACATGCCATGATAGAGCTCTGCACAATGAAACATGCCTTGATAGAGCTCTGCACAATGAAACATGCCATGATAGAGCTCTGCACAATGAAACATCCATGATAGAGCTCTGCACAATGAAACATGCCATGATAGAGCTCTGCACAATGAAACATGCCTTGATAGAGCTCTGCACAATGAAACATGCCATGATAGAGCTCTGCACAATGAAACATTCCTTGATAGAGCTCTGCACAATGAAACATGCCATGATAGAGCTCTGCACAATGAAACATGCCATGAAATAGAGCTCTGCACAATGAAACATGCCATGATAGAGCTCTGCACAATGAAACATGCCATGATAGAGCTCTGCACAATGAAACATGCCATGATAGAGCTCAGCACAATGAAACATGCCATGATAGAGCTCTGCACAATGAAACATGCCATGATAGAGCTCTGCACAATGAAACATGCCATGATAGAGCTCTGCACAATGAAACAATGCCATGATAGAGCTCTGCACAATGAAACATATCATGATAGAGCTCTGCACAATGAAACATGCCATGATAGAGCTCTGCACAATGAAACATGCCATGATAGAGCTCTGCACAATGAAACATGCCATGATAGAGCTCTGCACAATGAAACATGCCTTGATAGAGCTCTGCACAATGAAACATGCCTTGATAGAGCTCTGCACAATGAAACATGCCATGATAGAGCTCTGCACAATGAAACATGCCATGATAGAGCTCTGCACAATGAAACATGCCTTGATAGAGCTCTGCACAATGAAACATGCCATGATAGAGCTCTGCACAATGAAACATGCCATGATAAGCTCTGCACAATGAAACATGCCTTGATAGAGCTCTGCACAATGAAACATGCCATGATAGAGCTCTGCACAATGAAACATGCCATGATAGAGCTCTGCACAATGAAACATGCCTTGATAGAGCTCTGCACAATGAAACATGCCATGATAGAGCTCTGCACAATGAAACATGCCATGATAGAGCTCTGCACAATGAAACATGCCTTGATAGAGCTCTGCACAATGAAACATGCCATGATAGAGCTCTGCACAATGAAACATGCCATGATAGAGCTCTGCACAATGAAACATGCCTGATAGAGCTCTGCACAATGAAACATGCCTTGATAGAGCTCTGCACAATGAAACATGCCATGATAGAGCTCTGCACAATGAAACATGCCATGATAGAGCTCTGCACAATGAAACATGCCTTGATAGAGCTCTGCACAATGAAACATGCCATGATAGAGATCTGCACAATGAAACATGCCATGATAGAGCTCTGCACAATGAAACATGCCATGATAGAGCTCTGCACAATGAAACATGCCTTGATAGAGCTCTGCACAATGAAACATGCCATGATAGAGCTGTGCACAATGAAACATGCCTTGATAGAGCTCTGCACAGTGAAACATGCTTCGACAAAGCTCTAAGCATGAGCTAAACGTTGCCAACAACAGTCTGCTCAGCACCAAGCGCCATGTTTACATCACGGTGTCAGTGGCCAGATCCAGCTCATCACTTAACTAACTTAAGCCGCACAATTAGGAGGGAAAACTTTAGCCGATGTTTCGCTCTATCCTGAAGACAGGTCGGTTGCTGAAGTGAGAAGACAAGTGGGGTGAAGATAATACCAGGATAGTATGATTTATTATTATTAAAGATTAGCCGGTATTCTCCCGGCCCGGGCCTTTTCCAAGTGGTGGCCCGGCCTTGGCTCCCTCTTTAGGGAGTGTCTGAGACGTAAGTTTCCCATGGGAGGAGGCACAAGTACCTCCTCATCTTTGGGACCAACTGTCCCCAGGCCTAGCCACAAGCTAGGCCTCTCTGGTCTGCCATC